GACCCAAAAGCTACAACTCTTATTGCATAGGTCCTGCTTTATCTTGGTCTTAATCATCCAGCAGAAAAGTATAAGAACGAAGTATAAGAAGTAAAGCCATGGTGTTATGTTGAGCTGTAGGGGATGCAGGTCAACAATTTTTGACATTGCCAGTGAAGCAGAAGACCCAATACTATTATGGACTACTGGACTCTTTTAGAATATTTTGCTGAGTTAACATACCTTTAAGATTCAAATAATGGAACTAAATAAAAAAATGGGATACAGATGAATGTCCATTTTGTATCTGTGTATTCAAAATGGTTAGGATAGATATATAGTTACATTCTCTTAATGAACAGAGGGATTTGTTGAAATAGTGTTTGTAAATAGGATATCATGTCTGCATCTTGTACACAAATAACCACTGGGAAGACAGTCTGCATTGTGTTAATTATTGAAACTGTCCTACCAATTTGATTTGAAACTGTCTCATTGCTATTTGTTTCTCAATAAAATTATGGGAAAAAAAATTCTCTGAGCTTTAACTACTTCATGTATAAAATGGGGGAAGCATCATTTAATTCAAAAGATGATGGTAAAGATTCTGGAAAAAAAAAAAAATATATATATATATATATCTCATTTTGTAGCATGTCTGAACACCAGGTGACTGGTAATATTGCGAGACCTTTGGTAATAAAATTGCCCATATAAATCATAAACTTGTATATTGGTAAGGAGAGGGCATAAATTTACATAAGAAAAAGAAACCTGCTTGATTGAACCTTACTTAGGCTTTCTTTGGAAGTCATGCCTAAAATATCCAACAGGAAAACCCTTAAACCCCATGGTATGGACTCACAATCAGGTGTGCAGCACACACAAACCTTGGCTGTGTTGGTCCATTGGACTCTGGGGGGGCCCCATTCCCGGGTGAGGGGGGCGCATGGCGGTGCCCTTCATGGTTCCACAGTGGATGTCTTCCGCAATCCCCTTGTCATGCATCCCATCAATGGGCTGAAACATTTGAATGCATCAGTCAGGCATCTCTTCAAGGTACAACATAAGACCCCTCCAAAGTCTACAATAACACAGTCATTTCTTACCCACTTTGGAGTCCCATTTTTTACACCTGGAAGGTGGGAAGGGTAGAAAAGATTATTTAAAGAGGATAGGCAAAAATGTACAACTCATGTTGTAAAATGGAAAGAAACTGTTCAAAGGAAAAGAGAAGCTGGGATGAGGAAAAGGAGAGAAGAAGGGAAGAGCAAATATACATTTATGTGTGTGTATATATATCATATATAATGTCATATATGATAGTTATACTACTAATTTCTCTTAGTTAATAAAAAAAACTTTGTGCTAATATTATTTGGACAATTGCATGTCTATATCTTGTACCCTGAGTGACTAATTT